AGTAGTAGTAGTAGTAGTAGTAGTGGTGGTGGTAGTAGTAGTAGTAGTGGCAGTAGTAGTAGTAGTAGTTGTTGTTGTTGTAGTAGTGGCGTTCGTAAGAATGGTAACAATAGCAGCACTAGTACTCGTACTAGTAGTTGGCATGGACGTTGTGGTCGTATTAATGATAAGACTAAACAGCCACTACTGGCGGTCGTAGAAATGGTAGCAGTAGCAGTACTAGTACTCGTACTAGTAATTGAAGTGGACGTTGTGGTCGTAGTAATAATACGACTAAACACAACAACGCCACCGTGCCTCGGGCACGGACTGGGCGTGTCCTCAGGTCGTGTGCCTCATCCCCTCAGCCTCAGCCCCCAATCCTGAGGAGGCTTTATGGGACCAGGACCCCTCGCTCTCAAATCTCCCGGGGCTTGCCGCGTGACCCCTGGGCCCTGGCGAGTCTCCCCGCGTGACTTTTTCTGACCCAAGAGAGCAGCAAAAAAGGCCAAGAGGACCCCAAGCAGCCCCCAAGACGGCCCAAGAGGGTCTCAAGTCGCCCAAAGATTGACCCAAGACGCCCAAGATCGCCCCAAGACGGCCCAAGAAGCCTCCGAGACGGCCCAAGTAGCCTCAAACAGGACTCCCAGGAAGGGCCCAAGAGGCCAAACTCGTTAAATGTTCTGATGGGGGAACAAACATTTCTATCATATATGACTTGTCGGCCTTGACGGCGTTGAAGACGGCCCAAAAGCCCCCCAAGACCGCCCCAAGACGGCCCAAGAGGCCCCCTAGAGCCGCCAAAGTCGGCCCAAGAGGTCCCCAAGACTGCCCAAGAGGCCACCCAAGACGGCCCAAGAGGGCCCCAAAACGGCCCCAAGAGGGGGAGCCCGAGCCGACAACCCGAGTTTCCGCCCCAAGACGGCCCCAGAAGGTTCCAAGAGGCGCCAGGCCATGATGAAAGGAAAAACGGTAACTTTGTATTGTTTTTTGGTCCAATCAGGATGGGAGGGCCCGCAGCCCGCATGGACGTCCGCGCGCGATGCGCGCCGCGTCCCATTCCTGCCACATATTTCGCACCGTCGGCGACAAGGCAGGCCATGCGGAGAGGAAAAAACGGAGACTTCGTATGGATTTTACAGTCAGGATGGGCGGGCCTGGATTGACGGCCGCGCGCGATGTGCGCCGCGTCCCATATGTGCGCCGCGTCCCACTGCTGCCACGTATTTCGCACCGTCGGCGACAAGGCAGGCCATGTTGAGAGGAAAAAACGAAGACGTTGTATTAATTTTTTACAGTCAGGATGGGCGGGCCCAGATTGACTGCCGCGCGCGATGTGCGCCGCGTCCCATTCCTGCCACGCTTTTCGCATCGTCGACGACAAGAAAGACGATGTTGAAAAGAAAAACGGCCACTTTGTATAGACTTTTTATAATCCGGATGGGAGGTCCCGGATTGGGTCGCTATCGGCCGGAATACGAGGTAGGTGGGGGTATGTACTCATAAGGAACAAGGAGCAAGCTAGCCAGCTCGAGCGAGTCAAGCATGGCATGCCCATTCCCACCCGCCCTCCCGCAACATAAGAAACAGTGATGGCACAACTGGGGGCTGGGCGGGCATTCAAGTGCGAGTGGAGGATACCCCAGGACACCGCATTGACGTCCACGCGGGATGTGCGCCGCGTCCCATTCGCGCCACACATTTCGCATCGTCGACGGCAAGACTGGCCATGTTTTGTAAAGAACAACGGACACGTTCCGCCCTCCCACAACATAAGAAACAATGCTGGCGCAACTGGGTGCCGGCGCGTAGTGGTAGTAGTACTAGAAGTAGTAGTAGTAGTAGTCGTCGTCGTCGTCGTCGTCGTCGTCGTCGTCGTCGTCGTCGTCGTCGTCGCCATAGTAGTAGTAGTAGTAGTAGTAGTAGTAGTAGTAGTAGTAGTAGTAGTAGTAGTAGTAGTAGTAGTAGTAGTAGTAGTAGTAGTAGTAGTAGTAGTAGTAGTAGTAGTAGCAGTATAGTAGCAGTAGTAGTGGTGGTGGTAGTAGTAGTAGTAGTAGTGGTAGAAGTAGAAGAAGAAGAAGAAGCAGTAGTAGTAGTAGTAGTTATTGTAGTAGTTGTAGTAGTTGTAGTAGTAGTAGTAGAACTCGCAGTGGTAGTGGTAGTGGTAGTAGTAGTAGTAGTAGTAGTAGTAGTAGTAGTAGTAGTAGTAGTAGTAGTAGTAGTAGTAGTAGTAGTAGTAGTAGTAGTAGTAGTAGTAGTAGTAGTAGTAGTAGTAGTGTAGTAGTAGTAGTAGTAGTAGTAGTAGTAGTAGTAGTAGTAGTAGTAGTAGTAGTAGTAGTAGTAGTAGTAGTAGTAGTAGTAGTAGTAGTAGTAGTAGTAGTAGTAGTAGTAGTAGTAGTAGTAGTAGTAGTAGTAGTAGTAGTAGTAGTAGTAGTAGTAGTAGTAGTAGTAGTAGTAGTAGTAGTAGTAGTAGTAGTAGTAGTAGTAGTAGTAGTAGTAGTAGTAGTAGTAGTAGTAGTAGTAGTAGTAGTAGTAGTAGTAGTAGTAGTAGTAGTAGTAGTAGTAGTAGTAGTAGTAGTAGTAGTAGTAGTAGTAGTAGTAGTAGTAGTAGTAGTAGTAGTAGTAGTAGTAGTAGTAGTAGTAGTAGTAGTAGTAGTAGTAGTAGTAGAGTGGGGATACGAATAGGTAGTAGTACTCGAGTAATACGACAAGTAGGATAAGCAGAAGTACTACAGGTAGTACAAGTGCTCGTACGAGTAGTAGTACAGAGTAGTAGCACTATGGAAGTAGAAGTACCAGTAATACGTGTACTACTGCTAGACTAGTAGCAATGCCATTGGTAGTACACTTGGCAGAACAAATAGTAGCAGGAGTAGTCGTAGTCGTAGTCGTAGTCGTAGTCGTAGTCGTAGTCGTAGTCGTAGTAGTAGTAGTAGTAGTAGTAGTAGTAGTAGTAGTAGTAGTAGTAGTAGTAGTAGTAGTAGTAGTAGTAGTAGTAGTGGTAGTAGTGGTAGTAGTGGTAGTAGTGGTAGTAGTAGTAGTCGTACCAATGGTACTGGTAGCACTAGTCAGGATAGGATGGGAGGGCCCGCGGCCCGCATGGACGTCCGCGCGCGGTGAGCGCCGCGTCCCGTTCCTGCAACATATTTCGCACCGTCGGCGACAAGCCAGGCCATGCTGAGAGGAAAAAGCGAAGACTTTGTATTGATTTTCCCCACATCCTACGTGGGGTTCTTGTTTTCTCTGCACACCCTCCGCGCGGGATCTCCTCCTCCTCCTCCTCCTCCCTCTCCTCTGCTCTTCTTTGCTTCCTCCTCCGCATCATCATCACCATCACCATCACTCCCCACTCATCATCATCATCATCACCATCAGCATCACCATCACCATCCCACGATCACTCACCATCATCGGCATCGAACGATCATCATCATCATGATCATCATCATCATCATCATCATCATCATCATCATCATCATCATCATCATCATCATCATCATCATCACTACTCGCTGACTTGAGGCCTGAATATGGAGGAAGTCTCGAGCGGGAGCCTCGTCTGTGAGTGAATTGCGAGGAAGTCTCAGGCGGGAGCCCCCTCCCTATGGAGCCAGCACTTCATGTTTGAACCCGAGCGGGTCATCCGCAACGTGCAATTGTCGTCACTTTTGGGCTCTTGAGACTTGAATATGGAGGAAGTCTCGAGCGGGAGCCTCGTCTGTGAGTGAATTGTGAGGAAGTCTCAGGCGGGAGCCCCCTCCCTATGGAGCCAGCACTTCATGTTTGAACCCGAGCGGGTCATCCGCAACGTGCAACTGTCGTCACTTTTGGGCTCTTGAGACTTGAATATGGAGGACGTCTCGAGCGGGAGCCTCGTCTGTGAGTGAACTGTGAGGAAGTCTCAGGCGGGAGCCCCCTCCCTATGGGGCCCGCACTTCATGTTTGAATCCGAGCGGGTCATCCGCAACGTGCAACTGTCGTCACTTTTGGGCTCTCGAGACTTGAATATGGCGGACGTCTCGAGCGGGAGCCTCGTCTGTGAGTGAATTGCGAGGAAGTCTCAGACGGGAGCCCCCTCCCTATGGGGCCCGCACTTCACGTTTGAATCCGAACGGGTCATCCGCAACGTGTAACTGTCGTCGCTTTTGGGCTCTTGAGACTTGAATATGGAGGACGTCTCGAGCGGGAGCCTCGTCTGTGAGTGAACTGTGAGGAAGTCTCAGGCGGGAGCCCCCTCCCTATGGGGCCCGCACTTCATGTTTGAATCCGAGCGGGTCATCCGCAACGTGCAACTGTCGTCACTTTTGGGCTCTCGAGACTTGAATATGGCGGACGTCTCGAGCGGGAGCCTCGTCTGTGAGTGAATTGCGAGGAAGTCTCAGACGGGAGCCCCCTCCCTATGGGGGCCGCACTTCATGTTTGAATCCGAGCGGGTCATCCGCAACGTGCAACTGTCGTCACTTTTGGGCTCTTGAAATATGAATATGGAGGAAGTCTCGAGCGGGAGCCTCGTCTGTGAGTGAATTGTGAAGAGGTCTCAGGCGGGAGCCCCAGGAGGAAGAGGAAAGGGCAAAGGGTAAGCTAAACAGATTCTCATGCGGGGTCCTACCGTCGGAGTAATACTGGGCGGGCCCAGATTGACTGCCGCGCGCGATGTGCGCCGCGTCCCATTCCTGCCACGCTTTTCGCACCGTCGACGACAAGAAAGACGATGTTGAGAAGAAAAACGGCCACTTTGTATTGATTTTTTAAAGTCCGGATGGGAGGTCCCGGACTGGGTCGCTATCGGCCGGAATACGAGGTGGGTGGGGGTATATAATAATAAAGAATAAGGATAAGGGAACACATGCGAACCCTACCCCTACCCCCTATGATTTCTGAGGGGAAGTGAACCCCACCCTCCCCCTCAGAAATCGTGGGAGGTAGGGGTAGGGTTCGCATGTGGCCCCCCAGTCCTCGCCACCCTCTTCGCTGCCCCAGAGAGAAGAGAGATCGGACGCAAGGCCGGGCGACCGCAAGGCCTGCTTCCAGCAGCACGCAGACAACCTGAGAGCTCCGTGCGGGGGGGGGGCCGACCGGTGTGGCACGGCGCCTGCTGCGTGCTTGCAGCCCTTTGCTCGTTGACGCTCGCATCCTCCCGAAAGCTGCCGTGCACGATCCTGGCCCAAGGTGCCCCCCGCTTTTCGCTACATGTTGGAGCTCGCACGAAGCCTTTCTCTTTAGGCTCTATGAACTCAATGGCTTCACAAACCGACTTCGGACCCCCGTCCGAAGAGACAAATTACAGGCGGTGCCGCTAGGCCCTTTATAAAATGCTACAGCTCCAGACCCCCGTCTGGAGATCGGAGGCCTTAATCGGGTGAAGGGTGCTCTGGAGGCCATCTGGGCCTCCCCGGAAAAGATGGGGTCACCCTGGGCCCAGATCACCCCACGGCAACACGCAACGCCGTATACACTGGCCAACACGAGTACGACAAGATGTGGTCGCAACCCGCACGCGGCCGAGCAGGTGCCATGTGGTGTGGGGTATGTGCGGTGACGAGCAGGCCGCCCGGCACGCACCTTCACATCGTTAAGGAGGGAGGCCCGACCGGAACGTAACGCGAAGGATCCGACGCGAAAAAGCCTAAGGGCAGGGGCCAGGCCCATGCCATCAGCACGTCAAGGAGAGGAACCACGACGGTTTCGCAGCTGTCTGGCGGCTTCCCCATCCACCCCTCCAACTCCCTCATTGCGTTGTATGGCCGCAGTGGTTGTTTGCTCATGCCTGGGCTCGCCTGGTCACCTGCTCACTTATTCCCTTTCAATCGTCCCTCTTCTGTTCTCCCCAGTATCCTCCTCCTCGACCTGATTCCTCCTCCTCCTCCTCCTCCTCGTTCTCCCGCTTCATAGGGTCACTCGGAGGTACGACAGTGTCTGTGCTGTCCCCGCGCTTGGCAGCTGGCGTCGTGACCAGGCCACGTGTTCAAGCGCGGCCTCAACTTTGACGACGGTCCGAGGAAATCCCACCAGCCCTCTGGGCGCAGGTGGTCTAACGATATGTGTCTTTCCTCTTCCAAAGAAATCTTCCGTTCGGGGAGGGCCCCCCCCACCCCTCCGAAAGGTTTTTTTTGGATGGGCCGCGAGTCATCAGAGGGCCCTGTTTCGCTCAAGATGGCTCCAAGAGGGCCTTCGGTGCTCCACGATAGCCTCAAAGATGCCTCAAGATAGCGCAAGATCGCTCAAAAAGACTTCCATCATGCCTCCCAGAGGCCCCAAGAGGGCCACAAGGCGGTTCCAAGTGCTCTCGGCAACCCCTCACGACCCCTCTAAAAGCCCCAAAATCCTTCAACCACCTTAGGATCATTCCTGATGTGTGCTGTCTGCCCGTTTCGCTTCCGATGGACTTTTAAAGAGGCGATCCAGGGCTCCCAAGAGAGCCCCAAGAGAGCCCCAAGAGGGCTCCACGAGGGCCCCAAGAGGGCGCCAAGACGGCCCCAAGAGGGCACCAAGACTCAACAAAAGCGCCCGAAGATGGCTCCAAGAGGCGATTGTGAAGGCTCCTGAGGGCTCCCAAAGATCTCTCTGTTCACATTGGTTGCTTGCTCTGTTTCACTAAATCATTTAGTCAAGCTCTCAAGGTCTGGGTCTCTGAATAGGCTGATGGGGATACTTTTGGTCTGCGGGCTCGCGAATCGCAGGTCGAAAGCCGTCCGAACACTAGCCAGCCGCGACCAGGCAGCAAGAAAACGAGAGGCAAGCGAAGCGAGCGCGCGGGCAGCCACTCTGAAGAAGAGCCAGAAACGAAACTCCCAGACCGGTGGCGTGGAGATCCTGGTGGCGACCAGCAAGTAAGCGCAGCCAAAATGGCGCGGCGGCGCGACCATCAACACGCTGAGGTCAACCACTCGATGTGAGTCGGCACAAGGCACCGTCAGAGACGAGCAGGATCGACAGGCACAACCGGACGACGTCCGTGCCGTAGGCGACACACATGCATCGTGCCAGCGCAAGAGTGAAGAGGGGCAACCTCGCCACAGATAGGACTGCAAACGGCAGTACCTCTTGTTTGTACAGCAGTGGCACATGTCGAATGCGAAGTCCTTGCAGGAGAAAGCAGCCGACGCGCGCACCGAGCCACACATGCTGATGGGGATACGCGAAGCGTGAAGAATTAAGCCCTGTAAATTGGCTCGACGTCGTCTCAGCAGAAGCCCCAGAAGAAACAACGATGTGCAGGTCGCGGCAGAACCCCGCGAACAATCAAAACACAAACCAAGCAGTGGTGCAAACATTGGCGGCGTGCATGAGGGACGGCCCGAGGGTGCGGCGTTCTACGAAGGCGGGGGACTGCATGGAAGGAAGGGACCATATTGGAAGAGCCTGGAGGCTTCTGAGAAGCTTTTGCGGGTTAGATTTGTACCCATCTCCACTGCAGCTTGGAGTCTCGGGCACCCTTCCCCAGAAACACGAGGCTCCCTGAATATGGCTAAAGATTCGGCCCGTGTATCTATATCAAGTGCGCCTCGGCATGTCGTCACACCTTCTCAGACAGTCCAAGACGCGCAGGATATGGATCTGCAGCCGCACAGATGGATAAGACAACTATGCTTTGAGAAAGCTGGGCCAGCTTCCCAACATTTCTTCCAAGAAGCCTGGGCCAACGTTTCCGTTCACGCCAGAGGGACGCACGAGCTGAGCCAGCTCTCTGGCAAGTCGGCTGCGAAACGCTGCCCCCATTTCTCGGGAAGAGATCTCGTGATCAGGTGCTCGACTGCACACGTATCGGGAGCGGCCAAGAGGGGGGTGTCCAAGAGGGGGGGGTGCAAATCATGACCGGCGGCACGTGCGCGGCCCAGCGGGGGGGCCAGGGACGTAATGAAACAAGAAGAGGCGCCATAAACTCTGGGGAAATACCATGGCCCCCGCCATGATATCCACCCCCCTCTAGTCATCACCCCCCTCTTTGCCGCCCCCGAACGTACTGCCCGCAGCCTTTCCGAGAGCCGGGAGGCCCTCCAGGGAGGTCCCCGACTCTTGATGAAGGCCGCCCGCCCTCCTATACAAGGCGGCTCCTCTCGCGCCGCCCACGCGTTCTCTGCCCGCCCCGAGGTGGCACAGAAAGAGGGCGCCCGCAGGAATGGGCAACCGAGCATGCCGTCAAGGAGCTCATCATGTCAGAAATCTGGGCCAGATCCCCGAAGCCTCTGGAAAGAAGCCTGGGCCAATGTCTGCCGTGCACGCTGAAAGGTCGAACCTGCTCCAGAAACCGGGTCAGCCTTCCGGCAAGTCGGTCAGAAAACGTCGGCCCAGCTTCTCCGGAGGCTCCTTGATCAGATGCTCGACTGCGGGGTGGGAAGAGACATCGAGCTGCATCATGGGCGAGGCATCGTCGATCGATCGTAGATATGCCCCCGAAAACACATCCAAACGCTCCTGGGCGGAAAGGGGCACCCGAGCCCCGACTGGCGATGACTGGCCGAGCCGGCTTCTCCCTGTCGAAGCTCTTGAAGGTGTGCCCGGAGGAGCTCACTCTGAGTCTGGACGGCCCCCCTGGAGGAGGGAAGCAGTCGGGCTCGGACCGAACCCGCTCCCCAACCCTGGCGCCTCCCCTGGCCCCACTTCTCCGCCTGCTTCCCACACTCCTCCCCGTCCTCCCCTCGGAGGAGAAGGGGAGGGAGGACGAGGAGGGGGAGGAGAAGGGACGGGGGAGGAGAGGAAGGCGGGGGAGGAGGGGGAGGAGGAGGAGGAGGAGGGGGAGGAGGAGGAGGAGGAGGAGGAGGAGGGAGGAGGAGGAGGAGGAGGAGGAGGAGGAGGAGGAGGAGAAGGAGGAGGAGGAGGAGAAGGAGGAGGAGACCAGGAGGAGGAGGAGGCTCTCTTTTTTCCTTCGCCTGGCTCGGGAAGGCGCTCCAAGCGAAAACAACACGTCCCGCGCACCCTGCCAAACCAAGAGAACTCGCCCTGCACGGACAGGCCTTGCCCGGGCACCTCCCGGAGCTCCCCCGCGTAGTCGTACGCGCCAGCGGTGCCCTCGATCTTCTCACGCCACGCCAGCATCCACTGCCTCTTGGCGCCTCCCGGGGCGATGCGCGCGCACAAGTTGCCCTGCTCTGGACGCTCGAAACAGGAACGGAACGCATGGGTACTGAGCGTCGTTTCTCCGATCCCTATCCCCACGGGCGTTGCATGGGCCCCACTGGCCGATGTATCCCCCCCTAGATGGGGATATAGGCTGTGTCCTTCGAGCTTCGAGGGGCATATCCCCAACTAGGGTGGTGGGATGGTGGGGCTCTGCACGGGGATGGAGAAGGGGATGGGGATCGGTTGAACGATGCTGAGGCACGATGACCGATGACAAGTGTTCCCCAAAAGCGACGGCGACCGTTGCTGGGCAGGCTGCGTTCCGTCTCGAGTGGACGACGGCCTCGGCGACACCGACACTGCGAGTCCTGTCCAGCATGAGCGGCGGGAAGGAGCGGGCCTTAAGGCGAGATGACGCAGCGACCTCGCGCGGTGGCGTACGCGGGCCGCCAGCGCGGCACGATCAATTGGAAGCGAGGGCGCGACCTTCAGCGGGCAGCTTGCGCGCCACTGGTGGTGAAGCCGGCCCTCTTTTTTCCGTAGCCCAAGTGAACAAGAAGTGCTGTCGGTCTTCGTGCCCACTCTTTCCATACCCAATTCCGACCGTACCGTCGGGGCGTTGACCTGAGGAACACTAAATAAGGAACGAGGCCCATCTTTTCAATAAGTTAATCTTCGATTTGACATCGAAAACCTAAGGAGAACATAAGGCAAGCTGTGAAACAGTTAAGGAGCACGGAGCCCCTCCCCAACGAAAAGGGTTCCTTCTTCAGCGCCCCGACTGTGCCGACCTGCCACGTCCCGCTCAACACGGCGTCCCCTCGCCTGTGCACGACCTGGCCGAGCACCACCAGGCTGCCGTCCTGGAAGGCGCACGCGCCCTCCGTGGCCACCTGGCCCCTGCGGTCCAGCGTGCCCCCGCTCACGCGCCAGTATCGGCGGTGAGCCTGGGGGGGAAGTGAGAAGGGCCGGGCCTTCTAAGACGGCTCGGAAGTTCTTGGGCCTTCTGGGAGGAGCCTTCCCCGAAGACACAGAACACCTCTCCTTCTTACTTTCCACTTCCCCCCCTCGCTCGCCGCCGGCAGGAGCCACCCGCCACGAGCAGATCACAGCGGCGCGCTGCGGCTCGGGCGCTGCAGCGAGACCTCCAGTCGTGTGGCTCCCGCCGCAGCCTGAACAGGCCCGACCAATGGCTGCCGAACACTGCGCGCCATGCTGGCTCAGAGAGATCACGCAGCCGAACGCTCGCTGCAGAAACCCTGCCCAGATCCCGGACGTCGGAAAACTGCACCATGGAGGGGACGACATCCTCCAACGCAGCGAGCTCGGCGGCCATGACGGCACCTGAGCGCGCGAACATTGCCCACAGAACTCGAGCCCAATTGGCGCTGGACCAGCCACCCCAACATTCTTCGCACTGCCTCTCAACGATTAACATCTAGCTGTAAACTAATGTTGAAGTGCTGCGTAGGCCGAGAACAAGGCCGCAAGGAACAGCAACTGGCCTTGGAATCACGGACTTGTTCTTCAAACCGGTACACATTGACTCGCAAGGGCATCCCATACTCAGCCAGGGAGAGTGCAGGAAAACAGCACTCCTCCCCCTGGTTGAAAAAGCGCGAGTAGCGCGGTCAACCACCCAAAGCTGAATCGAAATGTTGACAAATGAACTCTGCTTGCACCTTGAATGTAAACACCGTGTCTGTATACGTGCTGACGCGTACGTAACATCCCGACATATATATCGTTGAAGCTTCCCTGAGGGTTAGAATGAGATACGCCCAAGTGGCCTGGCAAATGCAGCACAAGACATGTCGATCGGCACGGAGTGATGCGCAGAGGCAGCGAAAACACCACACACATGTGTCGAAGGCCATCCAGAGTGTAGACGGATGCGACATAGCCAGCGTGATCAATTCCATGAATACATCGCAAATTCAAATCAAAGACGCATGCTCTACACCTCGCGACAACGCCGCGCAATATCAGCGCATCCTCCGCCAGTCTACGTCGGAGTGTGCAGCGGACAAACGATGTGCAAAAATATGGAAGAGGGGAGGAATCATAACGGACCGTAGAAGGAAGGTCAGGGGCATGGGGCATTGGTGCAGCATGAACATCCCCTGGGGTCAAACTTGCCGTGCGAGATACAACTCTGTATCGAACATGAGGCGCGAACCGAAACGAATAGGCGGGGGGACGCCGGCGCTACCAACGCGTTACACTCCAGCACAAAAATCCCCATGACCATGCATGCGTGCAAGTTGCATACACAGCCTCCAGCAAACTACTATCATGCACGTGTCCGGAAGAAGAGACACACTTCCAAACCTCTCGCCTTCCTCTCACCTCCACGAACCGACAAAAGTATTTGACACAATGGTATACTACAGATGCGCTCTTCGAGGATCTTAACAGCTACACTTTCCTTCATGCTGGGCGATTGTCAACGACAGCTGCACGCTGAGCGGCCAACCTCGGTGTGGCCCTTGACCGCAGCCCACATCAACGGCGTCTGCGCGCAGAGCCAGCGAAAAGCGGGTCATCATATTGGAAAGGACGGCCAACGAGGGAGGAGCTTCAGGCGGGCCTTCTGGGGAAACTCTCCGTAGCACAAGGACTCCACACTCAACTGCACCTGGTTACACACTCTCGGATGTGCAGCCCCGCCGCTCTGCCATGTTGCGTGCATCAACTCGAAGCGCCACGCTGCAAGGACGGCAGTCCAAGCAAACCAAGCAAGGCACCTCATGGGTTTGGGGCCAGCTCCTGCAGTTTTTTCGCTGGAGCGACTGAGGACTGAGGACTACCAAGCGAGGTTTAGGGTGACTACCTACCAGACCACCCCAACCCAACCCGAAGACCCCAATTTCGGGTTGGCAGGGGTACGGGTTCCATATGTGTTTTTTCAATGTTCCCCAACCCCCCGGGCAAATTGAGGCCTTCGGGTTGGGTTGGAGTGCCCCGAGACGACCCCAGAAGGCTTCTGGACTGGCTGCCATGCCCTCCAGACGGCCCAAGACGCCTCCAAGACGCCCCAAGAGGACTCCGGAAGCACCCCCCAGAGAGCCTCAAGAGGCAACCCTCTCACGTATTTCCAGGTTTTTTCAGGGGGGTTCGGCGTTCTCGCCTTTTCGGCCTTCCGGCGCTCCAAGACGGACAAGAGGCCCCAAGCTCGCAGCAAGACTCCTCCACAAAGGCCCCAAAACGGCCCAAGTGGAACCTAAAACTAGCCAAGCCGGGACCCGGACGGCCCAAAAGGCCTCTAAGAGGGCTCCAGGAGGGGGCCCCGACGGGAGACCCGAACAGACATTTCGAGCTCTCGGTCCCGAGGCCCCCAAGATGCCCCCACGAGGCCCCCAAGAGGCCCGTAAGATGCTCCAAAACTGCCCCTAAGAGGCCCCCGAGAGCGCTCAGAAGAGACCCCAAGAAGCATCCCTGAGGATTCTGACCCACAACCCATGCAAGGTGGCGGGATGGGCCGAAAGCCCTTCGACCTGCTTGGCACGGGAACGGAAAGCGCTCGTATTCTCGAGATCGCTTGCTCAGTTTCTTGGGGCCCTCTTGGTGTTAAGACCTTAGTGTGTCATGCGAAAAATGAATTACGAACCTTGCGAGCATCAATGAATATGGCATCTCCTTCTTGGGGTCCTTTTGTGGTTCCTTTAGGCAAATTGTTTCCCCCTTGTCCGCTTCGCCCCGCCAGCTCCGCCAGGAGGCGACGCGAGACACACAGGGCACACCCATACAACGCGATGGAAAACCTGTGTGAAACAGTTGCGAGTTACTAGAGCTTCTCATATGATGATATCTGAACCTCCGACTACGGCGTTGCCCCCTGGCAATGGCAGCTCGGTCCCCGCCTTTTGGTGGCATGGGCGTGCGCTACTGCGTGCGCCTGCTACGCCGCCACGACCGAAGCGCGAGAGGCAGGTGCAGCACAACTGCACGTGCACACGGGCCAACGCTGTGGGGAAGCTCACGTGCGCCGCCGTAATTCAAACGGGACCGTTTATCAAGGGGCTACTCGGCGCCCGTCATAGACGTCGCAAGCCCTTCGTCTTCAAATCGGGGTGCTTCGGTGATCATCGGGGTGTCTTTGCGCTTTATCTCCATGTAGCTCACGAACTCACTGTAGGCGGGTTCCAACGGCGTTCCGTCAGTGTTCATGATCTTCCGGAGGGTGTACGACCCAAACTCGAGCCGATCCCCAAAAGCTGCGTGGAACCAATAGCAGCCACGCTTAAAACTGACCCCTGGTCCGTCAAGACGGTTCAATGTCCACTTACCGATTGAAGTCAACCAATTTATAGATTCATAGTCGAAAGACGTGCAAGACCAAATGCGTCCTTCTTTGAGGTCACGCGCCTTGAACTGGAAGACCTGCATGCCAACTGCCTCGCCACGCTCTTGAAACCAAGCGATAAACCGTCCGAAACGGCTGTCCAAATAAGTCCAAGAGCAGTTTCCATTGACCTTATTGAGCAAAAACGTCTGGTTATGTTCGTCCCAGGCAGCGTAACTCAGACATGCCAACTCTTCTGGTATACTGTTGCCATCCATCCAGAAAACGCCTTGTAAGTCCTCTGGGCACTCCGTGGAGGGAAGTACAACATTGTAAGCGAGCATCAACTCACACATTGTTCTGACCTGTTCGCTCACGCTTCCCTTTGGCCGATACCAGACCATGCCCGACAGTGTGATGTCCTCCTTCTTTTCCAACAGAGCGGCAGGAATTTCGGGATGCGGAGGTATGCGGGAACGGCTGAACTTGCCGGTCTTGTCTGGTTTACTTAACATACAGGAAAGCGGCGGTAAACATTTTATGCCACAGAACATAAGCAACAGTATTTCGACCAAGAGAAGTGGAGACAATACGACGAGCATTGAAATGATACAAATATTGATCAGTAGATCGCACATGCCCATTCTGGCAGCAGGCGCAAGCTGGGGCTGTGACCAGCGAGACTCGAATCTCTGCGAAATTCACACGCAGAAATGGAGCGCGTTTCTTCATGTTCGGCGATGATGGGCGTCATGAGAGAGGGGGGAGGGGCGGGGGGAGGGTATGACGTAACGCCCCCCCTCCCGCCGTGTGGTTCCCGGCACCACAACCGCGCCCGCGCGCACGACGCGACGAGCGACAAGCGACGAGCAACGACGACGACGACGCGAGCAACATGTAGGTGGCGATATGCCCCACTGCGCCTGTGTACACATCGCTCGCGTGCACCACAACGCGCGTGAACACCGCAGCACCTGCGTACACCGCAAGAACCGTGTGCAACGCAGCGCCTGTGTACACCACGGTGCTTGCGTACACTACAGCGCCGGTATACATATGTACACTGCAGCAACCACAGCGCCTGTGTACACCACAATGCTTGCGTGCACCGCAGCGCCTGTGCACGCCACAGCGCCTGTCTACACCACAGCGCCCGCGTGCAACGCAACGCTAATGTACACCACGCTGCCTGCGTGCAGGACAGTGCTGATAATCGAATGCGACGTTCTTCCCTCTTCCCTCCTCCTCCACCTCCACCTCCCCTCCTTCTCCTCCTTTTCCTCCTCCTCCTCCTCCTGCTCCTCCTCCTCCTCCTCTTCCTCCTCCTTACCCCCTGTGGCGCGGGGTGGCGCTACAGCGCACGTGCGCATCTCAGCGCGCACTGCACCGCATAATGGTATATTGAATCGGTCCACTTGGTTCTCGCACGGCCAATTTAGCTGGAGCCTCCTGGACGCAGATGGGAGAAGTTAGGGTGATGCGGGCGGACTCGGGAGAACTGCTCCCTTGTCCAGAAGGATTACTGTGGAATCCACAAGCGCTCCATTTTGTCATAAGGATTCCTTCTAACATTCTATATGCAAGTGTCGCGCTGTGTTGCACACGGTTGCTGTGGTGCACACAGGCGCCGTGGTGTACACAGGCACTGCAATGCATGCAGGCATTATGGTGTACACCAGTGCTGTGTTGCACACGGCTGATGTGGTGTACGCAGGCGCTGCGGTGTACACAGGCGTTGTGGTGCACACAGGCGTTGTGGTGCACACAGGTGGTGTACACACGCCGTGGTGTACATAATTAGGCGGTGTGGTGTACACTGGCGCTGTGGTGCACGCAGGCACTGTGGTGTACACAGGCGTTGTAGTGCAAATTGCCACCTACATGCTGGTGCTACCCGTCTTCCGTCATTCCTAGGCATTCCCAGACGCCGCCGGCGCGAAACGTGATGCCATCGACCCCCTCCACACCCCCTCAAATGATTGCCGCGTCCGCGCGCACGACGACGATGAGCGATGAGCCACGAGAAATGACGACGACGACGACGACGACGACGACGACGACGACGACGACGACTCCGGACCAGACTCCAATGCGGATTCCTACGCGGACACCTACGCGGATCCCAGCGCGCACGGCGGCAGTGCCCGGAACGCACTGGGGGGGGGAGCGTTACGTCATAGGGGGGGGGGGGAAAGCGGGGCCATGACGCCCGTCATGCCCCAAGCCATAAAGAAACGGGCCCATGACTTGACACAACGCTACTTGAACCAAACTGGCTGCGAGGGCTCCTTTGGGCCGTCTTGGGGCCCTCTTGGGTCGTCCTGCGGACCTCTTGGGCCGTCTTCGAAGGCTTGGGCCGCCTTGGGGCCCTCTCGGAGACCTCCTGTGGCCCTCTTGGGGCTCTCTTGGGAACCTGTTTTTGCCCGCAGGGGCCAGCTCCGCCGAAGGCCCCAGTGGCAAGCTTCGCATGGCACCGCCGCCTCCATGTTGGCACACCTCACCCGTTTCGTGGCCCCACCGCCGCATCCATTTCGGCACACCTCTTACATCTTTCGCGAGCCCATAGGGAGCTCCACCGAGGGCCCCAGTGGCAGGCTTCGCATAGCGCCGCAGCCTCCATTTCTGCACACCCCTTGCACGCTTCATAGCCCCTCAGGGCCATAGGGAGCTCCGCCGAAGGCCCCAGTGGCAGGATTCGCATGGCACCGCCGCCTCCATTTCGGCACACACCCCTCACGCGTTTCGTGGTCCCATAGGGAACTCCACCGAAGGCGATACTCACGATGGCGGTATTCACAACTGCATGTGGTTGGGTCCTTCGCCAGGATAATGTTGTCGGCCCCGGGGCATGCAAGCCGAACGCTACGCAACAAAACAGCCGTCGTGATCTTATCACGACGGGAGGGGGCGAGGGAACCAATCCGCTAGACGCAAGAGTGACCAAGCAAGAGTGACATTTGGTGCGCATCTTTGGGGGGCGCCGGGGCGGGAACCAATGGCGCAAGCTGATGCTGTCGCATCGCGCTCAGCAGTTGGAGAACAGTGGGCCCGCACCAAAGGTCATCCCAGCAAAGGGTCAGGCGTACGTGCAATCGAAACGGAGCAAAGGCCCCCGAAACGGGTCTTCGTCCCGAATCGCTGCTTGACGGTCCCGGGGCCCGCGGAGGGCCCCGCGAGCCCACCTCAGGACCCGCCCTCCCTCAGGACCCGCTCTCCCTCATGCCGAAAGGCCAAGGGCCTCGAAAACGGGGGCGCCAATGGGCAAGGACGCCGGCACGCCCGAGAGAAAACTGCGACTGCGGGCGGGAAACCGTTCTTCACCTACCGAGGGGCAGCGATCAGCGGGGGTATTGGCATACTGGGGGGGGGGGGGGGGCGACAGTTGGCCGATGCAGTGAACGTCGTTCGGACGACCCCTATGCCCATGAACGTGGCCTGGGCCCCGCTGGGCGATTTACCCTCTAGATGGGGATATAGGCCGCTTCTTTCAGGCTTCGAGAGGTGTATCCCCAACTGGGGTGCTGAAATATGGGTGGTCTGGATGGGGATGAGGATGGGGATAGGGGTCGGTTAGACGATACTGATGCGCCGCCCATTCCCGAGGCATGCTCGCGTCGCGAAAGAATCAGGACGGGATTTGTTTCTATGTTTTCTGCCCCTGGGGCCCTCGCCGGGCCCCAGGGCCGTCAAAAAGCGACTCGGGATGCACAACACGCCCAGGGAATTCGGGAGACCTCGTGTCCGAAAACCCAAATGTCGCACGCATGGGTGCATCCCCCCTGCGCCTATCCCCCCTGATGGTTGCCCCAGAACTGCTTTTTTTGAGCAGGGACCGACCGTCCCGGCATTCCTATAGTCCTACCATGAAGTGTTCTTAGAACACAAAAATGTTCTAAGAACAAAAATAATAATGTTCTTAGAACATAAACCCGTTGTGATAAAACAAGACAGTCCCCGCCAGAAATGTTCTAAGAACAATTCGTGGGAACCACAAAAGGTCCTTAGAAGATTGTTTGGTAGGGCTATAGGCGAGCCGGGACGCTTCGCCACTGCTTGAGTTTACTCCATGCCGCGCTTGGTCCGCCAATGGCACATGCGCAATGCATCGGACCGGCCATGCATCGGCCATCCGATGTCGACGCATCCCGACCCGGTGGCCCCCGATCGTTCCCGCCGACTTGCTCGCTCTCCCCAGTTTGGAACTTCCTGGCTGCCTAGTTTTCTCGGGTCGGGCGAAATGGGGGGGATCACAAAGGTGGGGCTTGAGAATCACCTCACGTATCTGATTTTCCCGGCGCCTCCCAGCGCCGGAGGCGACTATGTGTCGACGAATGGGCCCCTCGGTGGGGCCGAAACCAGCTGCACGCAGCAAATTTCGTACCCCCCCCTTTCCAAATCCCCCCCTTTTGTCCGGCCCGATTTTCTGGTCTTGGGGGAGGGCCGGAAATGGGAGCAGCGGACGCCGGCCCGCGGGCGGCCGGGCGGTGGGCCTGCCATGTCTCGGGGCCCCCAAGCCAAGACAAGCTCTTGACAATGTAGCGGCAATGAGCTTGTTTTTTGATGGATCTCTGCTGTCCGCCGCTACGCTGTGAATGCGTAGCTGTCGTGGATCATTGCTGTTTCCTGGCTCGCAAGATGATTTTACACGCGTGCGGAGCGACACCCACGTCTAAAAATAAGCCGGGGACGTACCCAACCTTTTGAAAGCATATGGCGAGTATATCTCGGACCGCTAAACACCAAAGCAAACATTGAATGATCCACAATGCCCTTTGAACGCTTGGCCAAAGAACGTCGGGCCAAAGTCAGATGCTTCACATATTCGGCATCACTCTTAAGAGTCAGGTCGTTGGCAGGAAGGAGACCACGAGAGGGCATGGAAACATGAGGAGGGACGAGTGGAGAAATAACTCGTGGGAGTAGCAGGGCCTTGCGCTGTGCTCGTACTGCAGGACAGTGCTTTGCGCGCTATGACAGTACAGCGCCTTGCGAAGCGTAGAATGTGACCGCATGCACTACAAGCAACAGGCAGCTGAAGAAGGAATGCGGCAGGGGCAACGGACAGCGCCATGCGTCCACGGGGCGACAATCAGCAGGGTTGGGA